AGTTCCCGGGGTCCGGTCCTGCTGCCCACTGATCCCCCATTGGCCTCTCATACCCCCGACCTCACGGATGTGACCCCTGACCCCAAAGGCATGACCGCGTCTCTGACCCCTGACTTCTAGTGTGTGGCTCTCGACCCCTAAGAACATGACCCCTGACCTCCAGGCTGTGATTCCCCCCCTAGGTTGTGATTGCTGACCCCAAGGGGCATGACTTCCATGACTCCTGCTGGGTGTGTCTGATCCCTGACCTCTTGGTTGTGACCCCTCCACTTGACATCTCTGACCTCACAAGGGGTGGGGATTGGGGAATCTCTCCCTCTGACCCACGGATCGCCACCACCAAACACCCCTCACCCAGTCACCATGGCCATCCCCCCTCTGGCCTGATCTGTGACCCTGCTTGTCAGCAGCCTTCTGCTTTGCCCCACCATCCTGACCCCCAAGCCCTTCTTATGACCTACCTCCCCAGTTCCACCCCACACATCGACCTGGAGAGCCTCTGCCCCTTGGCCCCAGTGCAGTTCCTATCCTTTCCCCTTCCCACTGCCTCTTACTTTCTTGCTGCTCTGGGTGTTAATGAAGGTCAAGTCCTCCATAGTCAGGATGATCTTGTCAGGGCCCTTCATGAGCTGGGCATGCAGGATCCGGCGCCTGCAAGGCGCAGAAACACAGAGACATGGGGGGGGACCCCAAAGTAATGGGAGGGCCACTGTGCTGCCCCCCTAACTGCTAGGAAAGGCCCTCAGGAGCCCGTCTTGGGAAATGGGGAGAAAAACATCCCACATTGAGCACTGGGGTGTGGCAACACCAGACAAGACACCATTAATCCACAGCAGGAAGGGCCAGGATCCAACATGGCTGACAATGACACCATTCACTCACAGCAGGAAGTTGCCCACTAGGGCCCTTCTGGACAAGCTGCTCCCTGCTGGCACCAGGGCTGTTGCATGGGGGTTCCTTAGCACTCACCTGACATAGAAAGCAAGAGCTGTTCCCCCCAGGATCAAGCTGAAAGCCAAGATGAACAGGAGCAGGATGAAGCTGGGTTCCACCCCTGGAGGAGGAGGAAGATTGGGGGCAGGGAGGTTAACAGTGGAAGTGAGGGAATGCCTCCAGCCCCACTCAGGATCGGCCCTCCCTCTCCCCCCTGAAAACCACACAGGAATACCTCAGTTTCCCCTCTACCCCACGATCCCTTACAAAGGGGTTCCCATGTCCCAACCCCCTTCCTCTCCCCCTCCAATACCTTCAAGGGACTCTCTTGTCTCCCCCATGGAACTGGGCAAATCCATGGCCACCTGAAGAATTCACGGCTGGCGCAGAGCCATGAATCGCCTGCTTCAAAAACACAGGCGCCAGCCAAAGGAAACTCTCCAGGAGTAGGATCAGTATGGAGTCTATGTCACACAAGGGAGGGGGCTTTGTGTCCAGACCATAAAGATCAACTCAAAGAAAAATAGCCAGTCCATTGTGTTCTTAGTGCCAATAAAATCCTTCACTACAAGTAGGAATGGGACAGAGACAGACCATTTGATGCATGAGTAGAAATGGAAAGGCAGGTGTACATGGGGATGGGCGGAGGGACCAACAGATGGTACATAGGTGGATGGGCATCCATATGGAGGGAAGGACGGATGAACAAATTAACAGGTGTGTGTGGGGGAGAGGGGATGGATGGATGGATGGATGGATGGATGGATGGATGGATGGATGGATGGACGGACGGATGGACAAGTGGGTGTGCGTTGTCACAGGTGAATGTTTAGGTTGATGGGTGTATATGAGGACAGATGGATGGATGGACAAGTGGATGAGTATGTATGGGAATGAATGGAAGGAGAGACAAGTTGATGGTTGTGCATGGGGATGGATGTGAGGACTGATGGCTGGACAGACAGATGGACAGATAGATGGACCCAATGCCTACAAGGAGGAACAAGCAGGGAGGCTGGTGGACGAATGGCGAGTACTCACCCCCAGAACAGATGGTAGTTGGCACAAACCAGCACCCCGAGTCGGTGCTGGGGCTGGAGCTGTGGGGCCAGTGGATGGCATGGCCCATGAAGCGCAGCCCCTCGGGCCCTGTGGCCACACTGTAGGTGGGCCAAAGCCGGTTCCCCTTGCCATCAGTGTCCAGGATGATGTAGCTCACCCCCGGGTCCACGTT